ATTGAAAGTGGATTATTTAGTGTGTGTGACCGCAGCCGTTGAGAGACCAAAGAAATAGTGGTACCCAGGCATGATATTGAGGCAAATTTCAGGGGAGCACGTATGAGAACAGAAACTGTCTGGCTAAGGGTAGAGTTCAATTGGAAAGTGGCAGAGACTACCTTTACTGGTATGCCACCAAGAATCTAAAGAGTACGGATGTGTGTTTTTTTTTCTGTGTTCAAGCCTTTGCTATCCAGCAATCTACCCAAGTTACACTGTAGTACAAGTATTTGCAATGCGCTGTAAAAAGGGAGCTCTAGTCTTAATACATTTTAGATATCTGAAAATTATCACTATAGGTTCTTTAATTTTAATTTTTTTTACCTTGAAGCTAAGCCTCTTCAGTTCCTTCAGGCTCTCCTAATCTCTCTCTCTCTCTCTCTCTCTCTCTCTCTCTCTCTCTCTCTCTCTCTCTCTCTCTCTCTCTCTCTCTCTCTCACACACACACACACACACACACACACACACACACACACACTTTACCATACTACACCCTGTGGGCACTCGTCCGCATTTTTACACTGAAGAAGAAAGAACAAATAAAGTATAACCCCCCTTCCATTACAAGTATTTACATACATTTGGTCAAAGAGGAGTGAATTTTAGTTAGTAAGTACTTCTGTATTCTTAAGGCCCTGTTGGGTACCAGAAACATATTTTGTCACAACAGATACCAATCTCCTCATAAAAGTTGAGACCCTGTCCTAATTTGGTGCCATGTAGCAAGTAAAGGTGGCACAATTACAGAACAGGCTGTGGGCTCTGCCGTGGAGGGCCACCCATGATGGACAGGCCACAGCTGAGAACTCAGACCAAGCGTGATCCCCCTGGAGAAGGAAATGGCAACCCACTCCAGTATTTTTGCCAAGAAAACCCCATGGACAGTATCAAAAGGCTAAAAGATATGACGCCAGAAGATGAGCCTCTCAAGTCGGAAGGTGTCCAATATGCTACTGAGGAAGAGCAGAGGGCAAGTACAAGTAACCCCAGAAAGAGTGAAGCGGCTGGGCCAAAGCCGAAAGGACACTCAGTTGTGGATGTGTCTGATGGTGAAAGGAAAGTCCGATGCTGCAAAGAACAATACTGCATAGGAACCTGGAATAAGGGAAGCTGGACGTGGTCAAAAATTAGATGGCAAGACTGAACATTGATATCTTAGGAATCAGTGAACTAAAGTGGACAGGAATGGGCGAATTTAACTCAGAAGACCATTATATCTACTACTGTGGCGAGGAATCTCATAGAAAAAAATGGTGTGGCCTTTATAGTCAACAAGAGAGTGCAAAAGTCAGTACTGGGATACAATCTCAAAAATGACAGAATGATTTCAGTCCGATTCCAAGGCAAACCATTCAACATCACAGTAATCCAGGTCTATGCCCCAACCACTGATGCAGAAGAGGCTGAAGTGGACCGGTTCTATGAAGACCTACAACACCTCCTAGAACTAACACCAAAAAATGATGTCCTCATCATCATAGGGGACTGGAATGCTAAAGTAGGAAGTCAAAAGGTAACTGGAATAACAGACAAGTTTGGCCTTGGAAAGCAAAATGAAGCAGGGCAAAGGTTAACAGAGTTTTGTCAAGAGAACACACTGGTCATAGCGAACACCCTTTTCCAACAACCTAAGAGGCGACTCTACACATGGACATCACCAGATGGGCAACACCGAAATCAGATTGACTATATAATTTGCAGTCAAAGATGGAGAAGCTCTATCCAGTCAGTAAAAACAAGACCTGGAGCTGACTGTGGTTCAGATCATGAGCTACTCATTGCAAAATTCAGACTTAAACTGAAGAAAATTGGGAAAACCACGAGGCCATTCAGGTTTGACCTAGATCGCATCCCTGATGAATATACAGTAGAGGTGAAGAATAGATTCAAGGGTCTGGATTTGATAGATAGAGTGCCTGAAGAACTATGGACGGAGGTTCGTGACATTGTACAGGAGGCAGCAATCACCACCATCCCAAAGAAAAAGAAATGCAAGAAAGCAAAATGGCTTTCTGATGAGGCTTTACAAATAGCAGAGGAAAGAAGGAAAGCGAAAGGCAAAGGCGAAAAGGAAAGATTTACCCAACTGAACGCAGATTTCCAGAGAACAGCAAGGAGAGATAAGGAGGCCTTCCTGAATGAACAGTGCAAAGTAATAGAGGAAAACAATAGAATGGGAAGGACTAGAGATCTCTTCAAGAAAGTTGGAGAAATCAAGGGAGCGTTCCATGCAAAGCTGGCCATGATAAAGGACAAAAACGGTAGGGACCTAACAGAAGCAGAAGAGATTAGGAAAAGATGGCAAGAATACACAGAAGAACTATACAAGAAAGACCTCGATGTCCTTGACAACCACGACAGTATAATCACTGACCTCGAGCCAGACATCCTGGAATGTGAAGTTAAATGGGCCTTAGAAAGCATTACTAACAACAAAGCTAGTGGAGGTGATGGTATTCCAGCTGAGCTATTCAAAGTCCTAAAAGATGATGCTGTTAAAGTGCTGCACTCCATTTGCCAGCAAATTTGGAAAATGCAACAGTGGCCACAGGATTGGAAAAGGTCAGTATACATTCCAATCCCAAAGAAGGGCAATGCCAAGGAATGTTCAAACTATTGCACAATTGCACTCATATCACACGCTAGCAAGGTCATGCTCAAGCTCCTACAAGCTAGGCTTCAACAGTACGTGGATAGAGAACTGCCAGAGACCTGCAACGTGTAAAATTTGGTCAGTTTTGGTTCTGCCCCCTGTATTGCTTGGGGATGGTACCAGTCATCATGTGTGGTTCACTCAGTTTGTTGTGTGGTTAATTCAGTCTTCATTTTAGGTGCTGCTGACTGTCGGATGAAGAGCCAGGTTATACGGTGTATGCGGTCACGGCACAGTGTTTTGGGCCACTCACTGGGCTAAGAGGATGCACATCGGGTCCTAGTCGGGCCTTAGTGAGAAGGTTGATGTCAAACGGTTGGGCTGAAGAGGCATGAGTTGGCCTGGGCTCATGACAATGTTGTTTGAGGAACTGCGTTGTCCTCCTCCTTGTGTGTTAATTATATACCTGGATAATAATGACCTGGGTTTAGTTAAAGATAAAGCTCTGGTCATCCAGGCCAAGTCTGATTTGGTGACCATTAAGGGATGGTGGCCAGGGGTGCAGATAATGTTGTCTGCAATATTACTCCACAGGGTTTGGCGCAGCCTGGGGGACCCTAGGTGTTTGGACTGGGCACAGTGAAATGCCAACCACCAGCTGCATAATGCCTTGGAAGGTGGCTTAGGCCTCTTCCTTCTGTACCCCAATATACGGGTCGAGTTGATGGACCTGTACAGGGAGGACAGGGTGCACCTTTCGAACAAGGGCAATGATATTTTCTTGGAAGACTTGCGGCGAGGGGTGTGGGTGGCTTTAGGCTGCTAGGTGGGAGCAAAGGCCTAAGCAGAGGCTTGGCCTTTGCTGTGGTGGTGCAGTGTGGTTAGGAAGCAGAAATGGTGAGCACCTGGGCATTCTTTCCAGTTGGAAGTAAGGGGTCCTCCAGGAATGGCTTTTAAGTCTTGTGGCTCAGGGCTGGGAATGGAGATATTCCTTGGAACACCTGGGCTCAGCTTATCTTGGTAGGCTGTGCAGCTTCTAGGATGGCAGGCCAGGGGTTCTTCTAATATCTAGGCCACTGATTGAGAGCCACAAGGATGGCTTGAGGTCAGGGTAGCTGCCCCACTCATGGAGGAATGTGAGGCAGGCAGGACACCTGCCCTGTTCTTTCCGCACAGATAGGCATTCCCTTGCCAGTTGTTCAGTTACAAATAGTTAATAAAGTGGCCCTTGTTAAATCCATATGTGGTGTCTTTCTCTTCATTCCAACTGTGGGGGCAATGTATACATTTTACATGGGAAAAAACCAGTGCAAGGAAACTACACAAAAATAAACATGTTCAATTTCACAAGGAAAAAAGAATAGAAACAGCAAGGATGCAAAATCGGAAATCATCTTTAGTGGTTTGATCACCAACATTAGACAGTGAAGGAATGTTCCTGCTTCCCATTTTTGTGCCAGTGATATTTCACCTCTAGGTAGAAGATATGGAAATAGTCCATTTCTAGAAGGAACTCTGAACTGTTCTTTTGTATTGTTTGGTGTTATGCATTATTGCATTTTAATAAGATTTTATCTATGACAATCCGATATTGTCCAAAGTGTAACAAAGAACACAGATTGGGTTTCCTTAACAAAAACTTTGTGAGTGAAATGTAGTTCTGGTTTTAAGAATGAAGTGCGGCAAGTTCAGATGTGTTCCAATGACTTATGAACCTCATGGGTAAGATCAGGGCTATTTTTGGGCAGGAACGCACAGGAACGGAGTTCCGGCTGGCTCCCAAGTTGGCCACATCCAGCAGGAACTCATTAGCATAATAGGCCACACCCAACAGCAGGAACTCATTAGAATTGGCTACATTAGGGGTGTGTGGCCTAACATGCAAAGGGGTTTCTGCTACAAAAAAAGCCCTGGGTTTTGACAACAAACAAGGTAAGCAGACTAAGAAGCAAAAGGTGGGTGTGGCTGGATGACCACACTTCTGGTAACATGGGAATGCGGCCTAATATGCTAATGAGTGGTGCAGTCAGGGGTGTGGCCTAATATGCTAATGAGTTTCTGCTGCTAGGTGTGGCCTATTATGCTAATGAGTTCCCGCTGGACTTTTTCTACAAAGAAAGCCCTGGGTGAGATCACTTTCATTTCTATAATACCTAAGGTGATGCTGTTTTTGAAATTGGCAGCAGCATAAGCAACTACCCTGCCCCCCTCTTCCAAATGAGGTGTATAGAAGAAGCAGATGTCCTTGTCTGCAGTGCTCACAGACAGACAGACAGAAATGGCTACATAGTTTAGGCCATGGACTTCATAAAGAAAAGATTGTTATCTGGTACTAAATTCACATTGGATGACAGGGCATTCCTACCTGTTATATTGCAGTAGACTAGAAGTGGCGAAAGTGAACCACTTGCATCAGAATCAATGTGGAAGAAACCAGACATCTTCCCTTGGTGCCTGTAAGCTTCACATGATCTCTCATATATAGCTGAAAGAAAAAGAAACAGACATTTACAGTTAAGAATACAAACAGTAGAAGTTTGGGAATTAAGTACCATGTGATGGGTGCTCATCCCACTGCAAGAAGGTGGCATCGATGTGGGGAACTAGTAATCTACATTATCAAACAGCCATAATGACCTTAGCACACCCTTGCTGCCAACACATTACTACATGTTAACTAGACAGGGTGTAGTAACTACATCACTCTAAAAAAAACCCCCAAAACCCCCCACCCACTGGCTTTTCACATCGATGTAGCTGCAACACAATGAGATTATAAACAACCAAACGACAGTGCTGTCTGTGCCATTTGAAACCATTCATAGATGGTCCTGTTTAACAAGGGAAAAAAACTCATTCATGTGCCAAACCACAATGTTGGCTGGATTTGAGAGAGGTATTAGGAATAAAGCCATTAAGGGAAAAAATAAGGGCTATCGAGGTGATATAGAGCTTGATAATAGGGAATATGGGGTTCAAATACTAAGTGAACTGTAAACTCTTCAGATGGGTTTGGGGGAAATATTTTTTGTTTTACCTATGTGAATGATAATGACCTTTTTCTTGCACTGCTGTGGGGATGAATGAAATGAGGGTTGTAAGTACTTTCGCATCCCAAGCATGATGTAAAAGACTGAAAATTAATTTGCCTCAGTGAATGGATTGCATAAATTACGCACCTCCCGTTCCTCTTTGGAAAGATGTAATCAGTTACTAACATCACACATTAATTTGAGTTTATTAGCCATAGCAGTTTGCTGGATCCCTCCATAAGGACCCCACCCCCTCCTCCAGTTGAGACCCCCTTGGTTAGTGAGGTCCCCATCTTATTTTGGACTTAGTTGTTTCAATAGACACTCCCTTTTACAGCCTAAGTGCCAAGGGGACCTGAAACTAGGGAGTCTCATAAATGCACCTGGGTTCTGCCATGACATTGGAAATTCCCAGGGACAGGAGATGAAGGGTGTGTTGGCATCACAAACTGATTAAGTACAACCTCCCCAAGCGCAGGGTTCTCAGTAACAGAATTCTTAATGACAAAATAATTTTCAACACTGGAATATCCTGGCGTACCCCAGAGTGTCTGCCCTGTTCCTCTTTTTCTTTTTTTAACTCAATCAAGAGGGCATTCAAGTAATTAATTCCCAATCCATCCTGTTTCAGGCGCTATCTCGATTCACACAAATATTTGTGACAATGCAGATCTGGCTCACTTCGACCTAATCAAAGTATGTTAATCATGTTCCCTCACCCAGGCTCTTTGTACCCATGCAGATTTGGCTCACAATAACCTAATCAAGGTATTTCCCCCACCAAAGTTTGACAGCAGTTAACTTTAAACCAGCCAGTGAAATTCAGGCCTTATATCTTGGACCAATCATGTTCCTGGGAAAGTTGGTTCCCATGTCTAGCTATGGGACCCTTCCCCATAAAAAGACCATCCCAACTCAGTGGAAGGTGTGTCAGGTTTCTCACAAACACACACAGACCCCAACAAAACAGAATACACATGCTTTTGTATTCTGCATAGGCAATTCAGAATGGAAGAGAATATTCCAGGGAAAATTGCTATTGGGCCAGATTTGGAAATCGTACAGGTTATATGCGTGATCATTTCAGAGGATGCAAAGAAAATGTAGATTGCAACATGAACTAAATACATGTGTATGTGTGTTGGATGATTTGTTGTGGATCATAGGAAAGGTGCAGAATGCAATATTTCACCCAGCAAAACTATGCAATGGATTGAGTGATAGTCACCCAGATCTTACTGAGAGAGACATACACACATCAGGGATCATGTACGAATCACAGGCTGATTTCGCTCTAGAGCTGCCTCGATGTTGTGCCGCTGTTTGCCTCAATACTATTGGTCAATTTCACACCCGAAGCCGCGGGGCTGCATTTGACCCGCGGCTTTGCCCAATTTCCTCCGCAGTTTCATGATCCTCAAAAAACAGGATCACGAAACTGCGGGGGAAATCGGGCGAAGCCGTGAGTCAAAATGCAGCCCCGCAGCTTTGGGTGTGAAATTGACAATTGTATCGGGGCAAATGGTGGCACAACATCGAGGCAGCTCTAGTGCGAAATCCGCCACAATGTTTGTGCTTCAACTTTTTTTTTTTATGATTCCCCATGCCCATCAAAACTACACCAGTGATATGTTAGCTACTTTATACAGAGATGTGATCAAAAAGAGATTTGATTTGTATAGCAATTTCAGATGGAAGAATGACAAGGTGTTTTTATACACTAATCTGCAGCTTTTACTCCAGTAACATGTTCTGGCAGAAGGTAAACCCCTTGAGGCCAGCTATACTACATTTCTTAACAGCTTTTCTCCTCTATAACTGAAATAGATCTTTTTCAAATCTGTACCTTTTCATTTGTTTTTGTAGGCGGCTGTCACTTTTCCCCCATTTTCTTTGCAGGGTTTTTTTTATTGGTTTCTTTCTTTTATAGCATTGTTTTCTTTATAGTATTTTAACACCATTCTATGCCATTTATACACAACTGAAGTAAAAATAGGTATTGACTTCGAATTTAAATGGTAGGGGCTTGTATCCCACCATTCCATTCAGCACAGCTTGAATCCTTCTTCCACTCTAAGGAGTCTTCCTCAGACAGAAGCAGCTCTTCCGTGGCGAAACGGGGACCCACCCTCAGCCCTGGGAGACCGAGGTGCCGTCCTGTGGCTCGCAAGCCCCTGTTTTGTCCTTCCCACCCGGCCCGGTGGGACTATTTCTCTTCGTTTCGGCTGCCACCACTCACTGAATTAAGTCACCGCCTTCCTTGAGGGACAGTGAGACCCCTCTAGCTAAATTTCCCACCTCGGGAAGTGGTTATCTCAATGTTTGGGCGCCCCCTGGGGGGTTGGCAACCACCAGTTTTAGGCCCGTTTGAGTCCCCTGGCCTCCCTTTGCTCCTGGTAACGTGTAGAGCGGGGGAGTCTAGGTGGTTAAGGCACACCACGGTTTTTAAACTCAATGAAGGAAGATTTATTGAACTATATACATTTTGGGCATAGAAAATAAACTCAGGCACTTCCACACAACCTGGGCACACAAAACAAACAGGATCGAAACGCAAGTCTTCTGTCCCTACCACACACCCTCTCTACCTCGGTAGTGGAGTGCGGCCTCAGGCCAGGATTTGCGGTTCCCTCTTTGGTTGTGGAGAGAAACTCCAGCCCTTCTCCACAGGACTGGCCACCAGCACTGCCACCCTCCTGGCTCTCCACCACGGTCTATAGTGGCCTGGATTGCCCACGGAGGAGTCTCTGGTGACAGGAGTCCCACCTGCGCTCTTCCTTGAGCCTGCCCAGGTCCACGCTGAAGACCAGGCTGAGACTGACTTTTTCCCTCAGGAGCCAAAAAGCCCCCCTCTCCCTGGCCCCACTCCTTGGTTGTGTCCCTCTTTTCCTGCTCTTTCCCCTCAGGGATGCTGGGAAGTGTAGGCAAGGAGGTATGGCAGCTCCATTGTTCCCCATAGAGTACCCCCCACACACAGGTAAGGAACTACCATGCTGGTATCCATTTTAAGGCCTGGCAGCCATTTCGTCACATCTTCCATGAGAGGAAAAGCCATTTCCATTGGAGAAGGGACCTTTACATGAGAAAAGGCTTCAAGCTTTGTTGAGCAGAGTGGTAGGTTACAAGCCACTGCCAACTAAGGTTCCGGTCACAGGCAGAATTAGCCCTGTGATAGGGACAAATGCTGGGCAGATTTTATGGGTGCGATCACACGGGAACCCGTCTGTGTCCCATCTCACACTGGATTTATTTTTAAAGCCTCCGTGTTATCCACACAAACGTGGAACTGTGCATGAGCACAAATGTGAAACTGATACACCAGCTCGCCATTGAGCTAGCCAGCGCGGCACATGCCCCCTGTTCTACGGATTCGCTTCTGTGGTCATGTGCATGCGGGAACCCCAGTTGGGGGGGGGATGCCCATCTGATCGGGAAGCGGTGGCTTGCAATCGCTGCATGTATGATCGTGCCATGCCACTTCTTTCTCCCCCCCCCTTTGCCACGCTTCACCATCAACGTGTGATCGGTGGCTGACGGCCTGAGCATGGAGCCTCGTAGGAACGTCTGATCGACCTACCGTGCTTCATTTTGCTCCAGGGCAAAAAGCCTCACCCCCCCCCCCCCGATTATCTCGTTCGTGTGACCGTGGCCTAAGTTAATCATTTTTGTAATGAATGGTCCTCTTTTGCTCTAATAAATGACTTAGCAGGTTAATACATCGAAACTGGAGTTATGTTGAGGATGATTTAACAGAGAGAACAAATATACTTGATTAGCTAATTGGGCCAGATTGTTTACGCTTAGGAAAAATGGGAAATGTTCATTAATTTTGTGACTCCTCTTAGCTCAGTTCGGAAACTGGAAGCTTTTATATTTTTAAAAAATGGTTTCTCAGCACTCAGGATGATATTTGGTCATCAGTTCCCAGAACAGAACAGCAACATTCAAAAGTAAAACTGATGGGGTTTCTTTATAGGTATAATGTAAAAACAGCATGTAACATATGAATGATGCCAGGATGCTGGGAAACTAATAGAACAGGAAAATCAGTCAAAATATAGGTGAGATGAAAACAATATGTAACAGATCTACAAGCAAGTACAATTACTTTAAATCAGTTCTCTTAAGTACTCCGTGTGTACACTGAAATAGCTATGGCAGCAGCCTGAATGGAGGGATAAGTACAGATGGCGTACTAGTAGGCTGGATCAACCACAGAGGCAAACTAGCCAGTTTCCTTGGTCATGAAAAGTGCTGTCCAGTCACAGCCAATTTATGGTGATCCCATAGGATTTTCAAGGCAAGAGTTACTCAGTGGTAGTTAGTTACTCTGTGTAGCAACCCTCGACTTCCTTGGTAATCCCCCATTCAAATACTAACCAGGGCTGACCCTGCTGAGCTTCCAAGAACTGAGGAGATCAGGTGAGAGACACTGTCATCAGCTATGTAAATT